ACACAACTAGGTGAATACAACTAGGTGAATACAACTAGGTGAACACACACACACACACACACACACACACACACACACACACACACACACACACACACACACACACACACACACACACACACACACACAGACACAGACACACACAACACACAACACACCACACACACACACACACACACACACACACACACACACACACACACACACACACACACACACACACACACACAGACACACAGACACACACACACACACACACACACACACACACACAACACACACACACACAGACACACACACACACACACACACACACACACACACACACACACACACACACACACACACACGAGCCTGGAGGGCGGGTACTCAAGTCATGCCCACAGAGGCTGGTGCTGGGCCTCGGGTACGTGGGCATGGTGACTTGACCACGAAATGAGGAGTGACGCCACCGGTGCTTGCCCTCTGGCTCTGTGCTGCACTGGTCGCTATACCCGTCATTCCCAGCCACTACCTCTCCCCGCAGAGCCACACCTCTCCCCGCAGAGCCACACCTCTCCCCGCAGAGCCACACCTCTCCCCGCAGAGCCACACCTCTCCCCGCAGAGCCACACCTCTCCCCGCAGAGCCACACCTCTCCCCGCAGAGCCACACCTCTCCCCGCAGAGCCACACCTCTCCCCGCAGAGCCACACCTCTCCCCACAGAGCCATACCCCTCTCAACCCAACCACACTCTTCCGGCCTAGCCACACCCGCTTCTCTACACAGTCTAACCCCCTTCCCAACCCAGCCACACTCGTCCCCCTACATATCCACACTTATTCCCCTATCCCGGCCACACCCCCCTCCCATCCAGCCACACCCCCATTCCCATCCCAGCCACCCCCCCCACACCCCCCTCCCACCCAGCCACTCTCTCTCCCCCTAGGACACTCCTCGCACCGCTCAGGATGCAGACAATGTGGTGCCGGCGCCGGCGAGGCTTGCTGGCGACGGGGCGGCAGACGACACTACCCGGAATGTTGAGTCTTGGCGGGAAACCGTCCACCCGTGGTGCTGGCGCCGTCCACCCGAGGTGCTGGCGCCGTCCCCGTGCATACTCCAGGATCGGTCTGACATACGTGGTATATAAGGACCTAAATGATTCCTTGACACAAGTCGCTAAAGACAGTTCTTATGTTGACCAACCTGGCATATGCCGCTGCTGTTATCCTTTTGGTTGTGGGCTTCAGGGGGGGGGGGGGGGGGAAAGGTGTGGCGCGATATCAACCCTCGGGTCTTTCTCACTCCCAGATTCTTGAAGGATTTCATCTCTGAAATGGCACCTTTGTCAACAGAGTGCGTGTCTCAGAAGCTGCAAGTGGACTTAACGCCAAGCCCAACACCAACAGTACACGACCTGATGATATAGACCCGTCCCCCATTGCTCGTGAAGCTGTACATCCACGTACAGCTTCACCAGCGTAGGTAGACCTCGATATACACTGAGAGTTTACTTTAGTCCCGTGGACTGTTGACCAGACCACACACTAGAAGGTGAAGGAACGACGACGTTTCGGTCCGTCCTGGACCATTCTCAAGTCGATTGTATCAAGAATGGTCCAGGACGGACCGAAACGTCGTCGTCCCTTCACCTTCTAGTGTGTGGTCTGGTCAACATACTTCAGCCACGTTATTGTGACTCCTCGCCTGCTCCTGGAGTGTGTTCTGGGCTACAATTTATTTGGTGGTTGGTGAGTGTAGACACTTGCGGTGGCCTTAATAACCCCGCAGAGGTACAACTGGGTGTTGCACACCACCGCACAATAACCAGGGGGCCAGATTAACGAAGCAGTTACGCAAGTACTTACGAACGTGTACATCTTTCCTCAATCTTTGACGGCTTTGGTTACATTTATTAAACAGTTTACAAGCATCAAAACTTCCCAATCAACTGTTGTTATTGTTATAAACAGCCTCCTGGTGCTTCGGAGCTCATTAACTGTTTAATAATTGTAAACAAAGCCGCCAAAGATTGAGAAAAGATGTACAGGTTCGCAAATGCTTGAGTAACTGCTTCGTGAATCTGGTCACCGGAGTGCAGCTCTCGCCTGAACATCACCTCACAAAAGACGCTTGCTGTAAATCTTACCTCAAGACTGAGGCAACTGACCTGTCAACAAAGGCTGATTAAGGACCTCGAGCTCACTCACAAGAAAGAGAGAATACCTTCAGTAACAAGCGTCATACAGGACCCCACGAGAGCAGCTCCCGACTCCAGTTTGAGGAGCAACCAGCGGGTAGCCGCCTTGCATGGCCGGCAAGCATTATTGTCAAGTGCAAAACCCGAATATTTCCTGCTGCTGTCCCTCCACCAGCTGAGGACAGGCGTGTCACTGGGCCACCAGCTGAGGACAGATGGGTCATAGACCTACCAGCTGAACACACGTGTGCCTGTCTGACGATCTAATCAACCCCTGAAGTACCAAACCAATCACGGCTGTAGACAAGAGCCTTACCATTCCTAGTCTCCTCCACGGCTGCTGGAGACTTCAACAGGCTCGTAGAAAGTGATCTGGCTCAGATTCCTTCTTACCCGACAAGACCAACGAGCAGGAGAGAGAGAGAGAGAGAGAGAGAGAGAGAGAGAGAGAGAGAGAGAGAGAGAGAGAGAGAGAGAGAGAGAGAGAGAGAGAGAGAGAGAGAGAGAGAGGATACAGTGATACAGAATCATTTGGGCCTTGTCAACCCATCTTTATTTTATTATTATTATTATTATTATTATTTATATATACAAGAATTCTTACATTCTTGTACAGCCACTAGCACACAGCGTCTCGGGCAGGTCCTTAATCCCATGTTCCCCGGAATACGACCTGCCAAATCGCTTAACAACCAGGTACCCATTTTACTGTTGGGTAAACAGAGGCTACAGTTAAGGATTGTCGCCCAATAAATCCTCCCTCGGCCTGGATACGAACCCAGGTTAAAGCGCTTGCGAAACGCCAGGCGAGTGTCTTACCACTGCACCACTGGAACTAACAAGCTATTGTGGTCGCTCCTCACAGGTCCCAGAGAACGTTAATATTACAGTGGTTTATGGGAAGCTGTGTTGGAGAGCGTCGTTATTGCGGTACATTAAGTTTTGATTTTTTTAAGTTTATTTCTACTACAGACCTGGGGCTAGATTCACGAAGCAGTTACGCAAGCACTTACGAACCTGTTCATCTTTTCTCAATCTTTGTCGGCTTTGTTTACAGTTATTAAACAGTTAATGAGCTCCGAAGCACCAGGAGGCTGTTTATAACAATATCAACAGTTGATTGGCAAGTTTTCATGCTGGTAAACTGTTTAATAAATGTAACCAAAGCCGTCAAAGATTGAGGAAAGATGTACACGTTCGTAAGTACTTGTGTAACCGCTTCGTGAATCTGACCCCTGGTCATGCATCTGCACAATGATAATTAACCAATATACATTTCCTTGAGTCCTCCTTGTACAAGTTTAATGATCTCTTAGAGGCGATGAGTCACAATAACGTGGCTAAAGTATGTTGACCAGACCACACACTAGAAGGTGAAGGGACGACGATGTTTCGGTCCGTCCTGGACCATTCTCAATCGACTTGAGAATGGTCCAGGACCAGGACCGAAACGTCGTCGTCCCTTCACCTTCTAGTGTGTGGTCTGGTCAACGATCTCTTAGACTCCGGGGCTATGAGCGTGAGACGGAGGAGGAGGAAGGAAGGAAGATGGGGGACCGAGAGCTACAGTTCGGCCAGGCACGTCTTGGAAGGTGCAGGTAACTTTCCCCTAACGTCGCCTGCTCCTGGAGACACTTTCTCCAGCTCCTCAACGGATGCCTCGCTGATAGCGTCAAGTGCCTTCTTATCTCCTCCACACACATACACACACACACACCGCCCTACATGGACCGCGTCTGCTCTGTCTTGGGTGCCTGCCTTCGCGGTATGTGGGTGCTTGCGTGTGTGTGCCTGCACTCATCTGGTTGTGCTGGCGTGTGTGTGCGTGCACTCAACTAGTTGTGTTTGGGTGTGTACGTGCACTCAACTGGTTGTGCTTGCGCGTGTGCGTGCACTCACCTAGTTGGTACTTGCGTGTGTGCGTGCACTCATCTAGTTGTGCTGGCGTGTGTGTGCGTGCACTCAACTAGTTGTGTTTGGGTGTGTACGTGCACTCAACTGGTTGTGCTTGCGCGTGTGCGTGCACTCACCTAGTTGTACTTGCGTGTGTGCGTGCACTCACCTAGTTGTGCTGGCGTGTGTGTGCGTGCACTCAACTAGTTGTGTTTGGGTGTGTACGTGCACTCAACTGGTTGTGCTTGCGCGTGTGTGTGCACTCACCTAGTTGTGCTGGCGTGTGTGTGCGTGCACTCACCCAGTTGTGCTGGCGTGTGTGTGCGTGCACTCACCTAGTTGTACTTGCGTGTGTGCGTGCACTCACCCAGTTGTGCTTGCAGGCGCCAGCATCTGGCCCCCGGCGCCTTCCAACCATCATTAGTTCAATACAGTGATTCTTTTTTTCACTCGTTATTATTAACCAGCCTCCAATATTAATATGTAAATATTGATATCTACATATTAAAGGTGTGTGTATGGAACTGGCTCCCAGGAACCTGCTCATCTAGTCCCTTCCGCTTAATAAACATATCTTACGCTGAGAAAGTTCTTTCTGACGTCTATGTGACTCATCTGTGCTTCCTGTTTCCAATTATGTCCCCCCCCCCTCGTTCTTGTGTTCCTTTGTGTGTGTGTGGCTCTTGTGCCTGCATGCAGGTGTGTGTGTGTGTGTGTACTTGCCTATATGTGTTTTAGAGTTGTCTCGGCTCCTGAGCCCCCGCCTATGGCAGTCCCTTACCACCCACCATTCACTCTGCAAAGTTCGGTGAGGCTAACCAGAAGCATCTGGCCTCCAACGTTGGACGGACAAATAACCATATCCTCTTTGTTGATTTTCTTTACCTGTCTATGTATATCAAAGTAGTAAAACAAAGGACATAAATGGACGAGAGAGAATACTTTGTGGTGCCAGACAAGAGGTGCCAGGCAAGAAGTGCCAGGCAAGAAGTGCCAGACAAGAGGTGCCAAACAAGAAGTGCCAGGCAAGAGGTGCCAGGCAAGAAGTGCCAGACAAGAGGTGCCAGGCAAGAAGTGCCAGGCAAGAAGTGCCAGGCAAGAGGTGCCAGGCAAGAGGTGCCAGGCAAGAAGTGCCAGGCAAGAAGTGCCAGGCAAGAGGTGCCAGGCAAGAGGTGCCAGGCAAGAGGTGCCAGGCAAGAAGTGCCAGGCAAGAAGTGCCAGGCAAGAGGTGCCAGACAAGAGGTGCCAAACAAGAGGTGCCAAACAAGAAGTGCCAGGCAAGAGGTGCCAGGCAAGAAGTGCCAGGCAAGAGGTGCCAGACAAGAGGTGCCAGGCAAGAGGTGCCAGGCAAGAAGTGCCAGGCAAGAAGTGCCAGGCAAGAGGTGCCAGACAAGAGGTGCCAGACAAGAGGTGCCAAACAAGAAGTGCCAGGCAAGAGGTGCCAGGCAAGAAGTGCCAGGCAAGAGGTGCCAGACAAGAGGTGCCAGACAAGAGGTGCCAGGCAAGAGGTGCCAGACAAGAGGTGCCAGACAAGAGGTGCCAGACAAGAGGTGCCAGACAAGAGGTGCCAGACAAGAGGTGCCAGGCAAGAAGTGCCAGGCAAGAGGTGCCAGACAAGAGGTGCCAGGCAAGAAGTGCCAGGCAAGAGGTGCCAGGCAAGAAGTGCCAGGCAAGAGGTGCCAGACAAGAGGTGCCAGGCAAGAGGTGCCAGGCAAGAAGTGCCAGGCAAGAGGTGCCAGGCAAGAGGTGCCAGGCAAGAAGTGCCAGGCAAGAGGTGCCAGGCAAGAAGTGCCAGGCAAGAGGTGCCAGACAAGAGGTGCCAGGCAAGAGGTGCCAGGCAAGAAGTGCCAGGCAAGAGGTGCCAGACAAGAGGTGCCAGGCAAGAAGTGCCAGGCAAGAGGTGTCAGGCAAGAAGTGCCAGGCAAGAGGTGCCAGACAAGAGGTGCCAGGCAAGAGGTGCCAGGCAAGAGGTGCCAGGCAAGAGGTGCCAGACAAGAGGTGCCAGTCAAGAGGTGCCAGACAAGAAGTGCCAGACAAGAGGTGCCAGGCAAAAGGTGCCAGACAAGAGGTGCCAGACAAGAGGTGCCAGACAAGAGGTGCCAGACAAGAGGTGCCAGACAAGAGGTGCCAGGCAAGAAGTGCCAGACAAGAGGTGCCAGGCAAGAGGTGCCAGTCAAGAGGTGCCAGACAAGAAGTGCCAGGCAAGAGGTGCGAGCAAGAGGTGCCAGGCAAGAGGTGCCAGACAAGAAGTGCCAGACAAGAAGTGCCAGACAAGAGGTGCGAGCAAGAGGTGCCAGACAAGAAGTGCCAGACAAGAAGTGCCAGACAAGAGGTGCCAGGCAAGAGGTGCCAGACAAGAGGTGCCAGACAAGAGGTGCCAGACAAGAGGTGCCAGACAAGAAGTGCCAGACAAGAAGTGCCAGACAAGAGGTGCCAGGCAAGAGGTGCCAGACGGAGCTATTCAGTGTAGGATTTGTAAACAAATTGTAAATGTAAATATATTAACATAAATACGTTTACAATGTAACTTCTTTAAACTACAAAGGTTTTCCGGTAAGGCTTAGGAGCTGGAGCTTGACCCTACAAGATCACTCAAGCAAGCACAACTCGGTGAATACAATTCGGCGAGTATACAGGTCTTCGCGGCTGAGCGGACTGCACTCGGGAATCGTAGTCCAAAGCCCCCGGGTTCGATTCCCGGCCCAGGCAGTAACAGATGGCTAGAGTTTCTTTGACCTGTTGCCACTGTTGACCTAGTAAATAGGTACCTGGGAGTTATACAGCTGCTGTAGGCTGTATCCAAGGGATGTATGCGCGCGTGCGCCCCAGCAAACAAGCAGAGACGCATAGGCAGACATTGTCGTAGAAATACAGAGAAAGTCAAACTGATTCGATCAGCTGTGTGTTTACTATCGATCAGCTGTGTTTACTATCGATCAGCTGTGTTTACTACCGATCAGCTGTGTTTACAACCGATCAGCTGTGTTTACAACCGATCAGCTGTGTTTACAACCGATCAGCTGTGTTTACAACCGATCAGCTGTGTTTACTACCGATCAGCTGTGTTTATTACCGATCAGCTGTGTTTACAACCGATCAGCTGTGTTTACAACCGATCAGCTGTGTTTACAACCGATCAGCTGTGTGTTTACAACCGATCAGCTGTGTGTTTACAACCGATCAGCTGTGTGTTTACAACCGATCAGCTGTGTGTTTACAACCGATCAGCTGTGTGTTTACAACCGATCAGCTGTGTTTACAACCGATCAGCTGTGTGTTTACAACCGATCAGCTGTGTGTTTACAACCGATCAGCTGTGTGTTTACAACCGATCAGCTGTGTTTTTACAACCGATCAGCTGTGTGTTTACAACCGATCAGCTGTGTGTTTACAACCGATCAGCTGTGTTTTTACAACCGATCAGCTGTGTTTACAACCGATCAGCTGTGTGTTTACAACCGATCAGCTGTGTGTTTACAACCGATCAGCTGTGTTTACAACCGATCAGCTGTGTGTTTACAACCGATCAGCTGTGTGTTTACAACCGATCACTTGCGTGTTTACAACCGATCAGCTGTGTTTACTACCGATCAGCTGTGTGTTTACAACCGATCAGCTGTGTGTTTACAACCGATCAGCTGTGTGTTTACAACCGATCAGCTGTGTTTACTACCGATCAGCTGTGTTTACAACCGATCAGCTGTGTGTTTACAACCGATCAGCTGTGTTTACTACCGATCAGCTGTGTTTACAACCGATCAGCTGTGTGTTTACTACCGATCAGCTGTGTTTACTACCGATCAGCTGTGTTTACAACCGATCAGCTGTGTGTTTACAACCGATCAGCTGTGTTTACTACCAATCAGCTGTGTTTACAACCGATCAGCTGTGTGTTTACAACCGATCAGCTGTGTTTACTACCGATCAGCTGTGTTTACATCCCCCAACACGCACACACTCATCGCTAATGTGTTTTTATGAATGACTCGGCAATGTTTCAAGTGTTCACTTATGGTTCGTTCACATGTCATTCATTGATGGTGGTCGTGGGGGTGGTCTGGTGGTCGTGGGGATGGTCTGGTGGTCGTGGGGGTGGTCTGGTGGTCGTGGGGGTGGTCTGGTGGTCGTGAGGATGGTCTGGTGGTCGTGGGGGTGGTCTGGTGGTCGTGGGGATGGTCTGGTGGCCGTGGAGATGGTCTGGTGGTCGTGGAGATGGTCTGGTGGTCGTGGGGGTGGTCTGGTGGTCGTGGGGGTGGTCTGGTGGTCGTGGAGATGGACTGGTGGTCGTGGGGATGGTCTGGTGGTCGTGGGGGTGGTCTGGTGGTCGTGGGGGGTGGTCTGGTGGTCGTGGGGATGGTCTGGTGGCCGTGGAGATGGTCTGGTGGTCGTGGAGATGGTCTGGTGGTCGTGGGGGTGGTCTGGTGGTCGTGGGGGTGGTCTGGTGGTCGTGGTGATGGTCTGGTGGTCGTGGGGGTGGTCTGGTGGTCGTGGGGATGGTCTGGTGGTCGTGGGGATGGTCTGGTGGTCGTGGGGATGGTCTGGTGGTCGTGGAGATGGTCTGGTGGTCGTGGGGGTGTCTGGTGGTCGTGGGGGTGGTCTGGTGGTCGTGGGGGGTGGTCTGGTGGTCGTGGGGATGGTCTGGTGGACGTGGGGGTGGTCTGGTGGTCGTGGGGTGGGTCTGGTGGTCGTGGGGTTGGTCTGGTGGTCGTGGGGATGGTCTGGTGGTCGTGGGGGTGGTCTGGTGGTCGTGGGGGTGGTCTGGTGGTCGTGGGGATGGTCTGGTGGTCGTGGGGATGGTCTGGTGGTCGTGGGGGGTGGTCTGGTGGTCGTGGGGGGTGGTCTGGTGGTCGTGGGGGGTGGTCTGGTGGTCGTGGGGGGTGGTCTGGTGGTCGTGGGGGTGGTCTGGTGGTCGTGGGGGGTGGTCTGGTGGTCGTGGGGGGTGGTCTGGTGGTCGTGGGGGGTGGTCTGGTGGTCGTGGGGGTGGTCTGGTGGTCGTGGGGGGTGGTCTGGTGGTCGTGGGGGGTGGTCTGGTGGTCGTGGGGGGTGGTCTGGTGGTCGTGGGGGGTGGTCTGGTGGTCGTGGGGGGTGGTCTGGTGGTCGTGAGGGGTGGTCTGGTGGTCGTGGGGGTGGTCTGGTGGTCGTGGGGGTGGTCTGGTGGTCGTGGGGGGTGGTCTGGTGGTCGTGGGGGGTGGTCTGGTGGTCGTGGGGTGTGGTCTGGTGGTCGTGGGGTGGTTGGTGGTCTGGTGGTCGTGGGGATGGTCTGGTGGTCGTGGGGATGGTCTGGTGGTCGTGGGGGTGGTCTGGTGGTCGTGGGGATGGTCTGGTGGTCGTGGGGATGGTCTGGTGGTCGTGGAGATGGACTGGTGGTCGTGGGGATGGTCTGGTGGTCGTGGGGGTGGTCTGGTGGTCGTGGGGATGGTCTGGTGGTCGTGGAAATGGTCTGGTGGTCGTGGTGATGGTCTGGTGGTCGTGGGGATGGTCTGGTGGTCGTGGAAATGGTCTGGTGGTCGTGGTGATGGTCTGGTGGTCGTGGAGATGGACTGGTGGCCGTGGAAATGGTCTGGTGGTCGTGGGGATGGTCTGGTGGTCGTGGGGATGGTCTGGTGGTCGTGGGGGGTGGTCTGGTGGCCGTGGAAATGGTCTGGTGGTCGTGGAGATGGTCTGGTGGTCGTGGGGATGGTCTGGTGGTCGTGGGGATGGTCTGGTGGTCGTGGGGGGTGGTCTGGTGGCCGTGGAAATGGTCTGGTGGTCGTGGATGTCTGGTGGTCGGGGATGTCTGGTGGTCGGGGATGTCTGGTGGTCGGGGATGTCTGGTGGTCGGGGATGTCTGGTGGTCGTGGGGGGTGGTCTGGTGGTCGTGGAGATGGTCTGGTGGTCGTGGGGATGGTCTGGTGGTCGTGGAAATGGTCTGGTGGTCGTGGAAATGGTCTGGTGGTCGTGGAAATGGTCTGGTGGTCGTGGGGATGGTCTGGTGGGCGTGTTGCAAGTGGTGGATGCTGAATGAAATCTTGTATATTAAAATAATTAATCATATTGCATCGTATGAGTTCAGCGTGTGTGTGTGTGTGTGTGTGTGTGTGTGTGTGTGTGTGTGTGTGTGTGTGTGTGTGTGTGTGTGGGTGGTGTGTGTGTGTGTGTGTGTGTGTGTGTGTGTGTGGTGTGTGGTGTGTGTGTGTGTGTGTGTGTGTGTGTGTGTGTGTGTGTGTGTGTGTGTGTGTGTGTGTGTGTGTGTGTGTGTGTGTGTGTGTGTGGGTGTGTGTGTGTGGTGTGGTGTGTGTGTGTGTGTGTGTGTGTGTGTGTGTGTGTGTGTGTGTGTGTGACACTAGACGCACGCAACATTCCGACAAAAGAACAATGAACACTGAAAAGTTGTTCATCATCATCATGCATGTTGAAGAACAACTGTTCAGTAGAATGCATAGAATGTGGTTTGGCCATTGGCTGGCTAGTTGTTGGTTAGTGCGTGACTATTGGCTAGTCGGTGACCGGCTATAGTGGTTTACTAACGCCTTGGGATAGTGTTCCTTTAATGTCTGCCTACCCCTTGAGTGGCTAGTGGCTAGCTAGTGATTTAGCAGTTGCCGAGTGACGGCTTGCTAGCCAGCTAGAAGGATCATTAGAGCCCGGCTAGTGGCAGGCTAGCTAGCTGGGGTGAAAGATGGATAGATAGGCGTCTATCCACCTTTCACCATCACGAGGTACACGTGTTCGTGATCACCATCACAAGGCAAACAGTCAAATTATCCCTACAGCCCCGTCAACGACTGGTCTACAGCCCCGTCAACGACTGGTCTACAGCCCCGTCAACGACTGGTCTAAGCCACGATCTTATACAAGCCAACCCATCACTGGACCTTGTGTTACAACCCCACAGGCAGAGGGTGGGTGGGTTTAGCCCCAGGGGAGGGGGGAGGGTTTACCAATGGGGGGGACTGTGAGGTTTACAGTCTCCAATGACCTGGGTAGACCAGTCTACCCAGTAGATTAGGTAGACATAGACCAGTTGGGTTTTAGAGCTAGTTTTGCGCTAGTGTTGTTAAGACATTAACAGGGATATGCATGTCGTGTCTTGCTTACCGAGGTACAGGCGGATTTGTTCTCGATTCACAATCTTTGGATCTCAGGGTTCGATTCCCAGGTGGGAGAGAGAAATGGTTGGGCATGTTTCCTTTCACCTGATGCCTCTGTTGGAGGGTCAGTAGTTCGACCTTGGGAGGAGGGGGGGGGGCTGAACCTAGGTGACACATGTAGGGGTTCAGATGCTTGGAGGGCTAGCCTCGCCCAACTCTGCAGGGTGACTGATGGGTGGTGAAGGACTGCCATACGCTGGGTCGAGATCAACCTTAATTGTCACCCTTCACGGGACTGTACCCAACACACTCTGGCATAACCTGGGGGATCGAACCCAGGCACCAAGAGTACATACGAGAGAACTCGTCTCGTGGAGCAAGCTACAAACTCAGTATATAATAAACTGGCCTAAGGTGAGA